ACATACTGTAAGGTGATGAAAGTTACCAACTGGCATACTTTGTACCAACTCCCTGCTAGCCATCCTGCAAAATGTCTTGCTTTGGGGACAACAAATACTATATAATTGTAAAAGAATTTGAAGATTAGAAGCTTGTTTGTCAAGATAAATAAATAAATGTGCTTTGAACTGTATAAATTTAGAATGAATTAGCTGTTCATGCATAAGTGGTACTTCAATTAGGGATGGCAACATAACAGATTCATTGTGAAATAAATGTGTAATAAATTCTCAGAACTAATTTGGATGACGGTCCAAACAATCTATCTTCATTGCTGCTGAGCCTGACCTGTTTCTTTCAGCTAATTATTGCTTTGCAAATATGCCACTTGGAATATTACAACCCCAAATCAGAAAAAGTTGGAATGGTATGTAAAATAAAAATAAAATCTGCAAATAGTGATGCGTAAATCATCTGGGTACTGTGTTACATTGAAAACAATACATCCTGAAAAAAAAAAACTACTGATTCGTCTGACCACAGTACACGTTTCCACTGTGTGATTTTCCATCCCAGATGCCTCTGAGTCCAGAGCAGTCGACTGTGTGTCTGCACACTGTTGACATAAGGCTTCCCTTTGGCACAGTATAGTGTTAAGTGGCATTTATGGTTGTAATTATGTATTGTAGTGCCTGACACAGGTGTGCCAAAGTCATCCTGAGCCCATGTGGTTGTATTGCTTAAAGGAGAGTGACGGTTCTTGATGTGGTGTCGTTAGAGGGATCGAAGAGCACGGTCATCCAGCTTAGGCTGGCGTCCTTTACGCGCTGAAATCCCTCCAGATTCCTTTAATCTTTTAATTATGTTATGCATCGTAGAGGATGACATGTCCAAATTCCTTTCTATCTTTCTTTGCGGAACATTGTTTTTAAACACTTCAATAATTTTCTCATGCATATGTTGGCAAACTGGCGGTCCTTGGCCCATCTTTGCTCCTAAAGGGTTCGGCCTTTCTCAGAATGCCATCACCTGTTTCAAAAGGAATCATCATTTCATAGTTTTACCTCATTACTAGCCCTGAAATGGAACCATCTTTTTCTGATTTGGAGTTGAACAACTTTTTTCATGTAAAGGCTGTGTAAGCCTGCCTTTCTTTGTCTGGTGTTTGATTGTTCTGTGCTTTAGCTTGTCACTTGTCTCTGTAGTTCTCTGTTACTTTTGTGCCAAGAGGTTGGTTTTGTGATAGACTCCAAAAAAAAACAAAAAAAAAACCCACGACTGCTATGCCTACTCAAAGCACCAAGCTGCCACTCAGAGCTTATCACTAATTACCCACTTGTTTTTGTTGTTTTGTGAAGTAGCCAATAAAACGGGAGCCTGAATGCTTTTCCAATCATAGTGAAGATGAAAGGCTATAATATCGCACAGTGAAAGCTCAGCTCACATGAGCCATGCACCTGAGTCAGTTAGAGCAACGTTCCCTTCAAGCCATGTGAAATTTAATTTCATATGCCAGGGACAGACTAAAGTAGGCCATACCATAACAGCCTGAGAATCTCACAGCTCATTGCAGTTTGATATTTTATTTAACTGGAGCAAAGCTGCAAAGTCTTACACACACAGACATCAGAAGGCAAGTGAGGAGATGAATGCAGGAGTCACAAGAGCATACAAATACAACATGACAGCATAAAGGGCATAATGAGGGAGTCATGACAAAGTGTGACAACAACACCAGTCAGTCATATCAGTTGTCGAATACTGAGGAGTTCTTTTGTATCACACATTGTGACAGTGATTTAGTTAAATTAAGAATTAAATCAGGATGTCTGCAACATCCTTAAATAATAAATAATTATATGACAATGATTAAAGTTAATGTACCCTTAATGCTGTTGGTATCACAATTAGGTGGAAGGTTAATTCAAATGAGACTAGTCATCTGTTTTTGGTGTAATCTGTTGCCAATTTGGTGATTTTACAAGAACAAATTAAACATATTGAGATATTGTAGCAATGATGGAATCATGTTTAAAAGGCTAATAAACCATTTTAACAAATCACTCCTCAGCCAGTGGAGGAAATTGGTATGAAAAATGAACCGTTATTGTTTTTAAAGCTGGAGCATTGGTCAATTAGTCTATAACTTAGTATGAATGATTCTCACAGCACCTGCCGCCCAAAGCTGCTTTATACTGTATGTAAAAGGCTTTTCCTTCAGCTCATTAAATCCCTACAGCAACAGGACACAAATGTTGATAAATCTGTGGCCCCCGATTTAAGAAGTGCAGCGTCAGAATGCAATGCCATCAGGCATGGCTGTCCGCTGTGTTTATGTTTATTAAATCACATGCAAATGACCGCAGGCAGCCGCAGAGTAATCCTGTACAGCACTACACACAAACTGGTGTACACACTGAGCCACTCTGCACCATCAAGACCAAAGTATGATGTCCTGGAGAAGATGCTTTCCGTTTGTTGAACTGAGGTGCATTTGAAAACGACCACACAGCGTGACCACCAAAGACCCACTGCAGTGTGCTTCAGGTTGCTCTTGCGCAGCTGAAACCTGAGCCCAATATTTCTGGCTATGGTGCACTGATTTTAAACTTCTTTTTAATTGTCCATCATGAATAATGTTATAGGTCTGTAATTCCAAAATGGTGAAGAACCTTTTAGGGCTTTGTCAGTCATATATTCTTAATATAACAAAACTTTGTCACTATAACGTGTGTCAGTATTCTCAACACCTCAGACCGCACTTTACATAAAACAAAATGGTGACAAGAATAGCTTTATCATGCATAATGCACAGATGGGTAGACATAAAGTACTTTTCCTGCACCAGTGCCTTGAATTAGTCCTGCCTGAATGGAACAGTTCACAGGGACAAACCTCACAGCCTGCTTCCCTTCCTCTATTTCTGTCACTGCTAAGTTTGCACACTCAGTATGATATTTGCCTGGAGAGATAGACAACTTTTCTGTGTAGAAAAGCTGTAAATTGTGTTGTTGTACTGGTCTACATTGAGAATGCCCTTCTGCAGAAAATGCGTCATATGTAGTTAGTGCCAGCAGGTTGTTATAAGCAACATTAAAGTCTATTAAATCTCTAGTGACTGTAGAAATTCAAAAGCCAGACAGCACAGATAGTGCAAACTTCCACCAGGGCAGATCAGTTCTAAATCTAACCAAGTAGTTTCTAAGCCTAAAAAAATGATTTTGTGCCTTAGAATTAGAAACTGTGATGCTTCATAATCATAACTATGTTTATGACTATTTCTATGATGGCAAAGGTCTGGTACACTTGCTGGTGGAACAGCTATATGGAGTGTATGATTGTTACCATGACAACAAAGGTCTGTTGAGTGTGCTGCTGGAAGGGTCCTAATTGAAGTTTGGAGGAAGCAATGAGCGATGTCATTAAGGATGGAGGACTTGTTGACAGCATTATATCCAAACATGTTTCCAGTCTGAGGAGCCCAGTTCCACAGTAGAAAACAATTTGAAAACTACCACATTACTGAACCAACACTTTACTTTTGCCTTGTCACTCCGTGTGCACCGCACTCAATTGCATCATGGCTTCAAACTAATGTAAAATGTTACCATTGCACATTGAAAATTAGTACTACCCCTCTTTTAAATATCTCATTGATGGTACAAATAGAATTTGCAGCCCTGATTGTCCACCTTTTCTTTCTCTTAGTTCATGCTCAAACTACACATGCCACATCACAGCCGCCTACTGTCTCAGGGGATACATGTTCCACTCATTCAAGTGATTTAGCTGACTTTGATTTTTCCACTCTGCTTTGTGCTAAAACGATCTGACTCAGACAGTTGAGAATTTGGATTTTTTTCAAGGGATTGGAATTTTACACAATACAGAATGTATTACTGTAAGTCAAATTAAAAGCACAATATGAGTCCGACTGAAAGGGTCTTTAACTACTTTGTTTCTAGCTGCCACAAGCAGTTTTCTGCTCTCTGCTCTCTGAACACAAATGGCATGTTACATAACATTAATTTGATTGCAAAGGATCTTACTCTGCTGCTGCCACTGCTTTAGAAGTCAGTGTAGTCATTTCTGAGTTGGATGCTTTCCTCACTTTCTACTGTATTGTTCTGTGGTGCACAAGAGGATGACTGAATATGAACAATACAGTCTGCACTTCCATGAGATTTATCTAAACTGCAAGTCCCCAACAAAAGGATCATCAGCATTATGCAACCCTCTGAGTGTTGAGATAAACATGTTTATTCATTTATTTTCATGCATTTTAGGAAGAAGGACGGAGGCCACAGGATTCATTTATGTAACAGCAAACTGGATTATTTAAAATAACAAACACATATTTCATTTAATACCTTGATTTACTCAGGGTATCTTCTCTGAGGGGTCACGTGTCTTTTTCAGGAGTGCCCCACATTCGCACTAGTACAACCACAGACTGACATATTGCTACTGAACAGCTCCACTGGGGCAGCTGAGGTTGTGCCATCACACTGGTGTTAATGAGGATGGGGCACACGTTGCTTTGGCCCCCTGTCCCACCCAGATTTAATCCTGCCAGTGAACCAGTGAACTTCTCAAGCTTGTTTCTCTGACCTTTACACCACCTTAGCCTCTCTAGAGTAAAGACATAAAGGCCTGACTGAATTCATGGTGAGGAACTGCTAAATGAACAGTTGTGTTTAAAGTTGATTATGGAGTATATATATATATATATTTAAAACCAAGAGACATAGTAGCGCTCAACTTTGAACTAAGATCTAAAGAAATTACAAGGCTGCTGTAGCTTTCTGAAATCGCAGACACCTCACCATAACGTTGGCACAACGAATGACAGGCTTGCACCAGCTCAGCTGAATGAAGAAAAGATTTGAACCTCCAAACTAGTCTTTAAGCTATCTCTCAGTAGAGTTCAACAAGTATTTTAAAACACTAACAATCTTGCAACAATGCAACAGTTTTATTATTTTTTTATCCACCCATTCTTCCAACTCTTTTCTTGCAGGGAGTGCTTACAGGGAGTGCATGGACAATGGGACGTGGGCGTTGAAGAGCAATTACTCCAATTGTGAACCCATATTGGAGGAGAAGGTCAGTGGGCTACAAAGGAGCAGTCTTGCTATGTCTGTCATTCTCTAACCATAAACCATCTCAGATAAATAGTCATCAGTCTCTCATCATTACACTAATGGCAAATAAGGAAAACAGTCAGATTTGGCAAAGTAAATGTTGTGTTTTCTTTGCTTAACGCTTATTTAACTGCATTCTCGTTTACTACATAGGGCAGTTAAACACTTTAAACGCTGGTTTACAGACGACTTAACAAATACATAAGTGCCTAAGGCCACACTGTAAGACTGGTGTATGTAATGAGTTTTGGCCTGATTACCTCATATCTTTGTCTCCTGATTATGTGGGTATTCTGGGTCTTGTTCTATTTTCTCAGATAATTTTCAGCCACGACATCTGAAGTGTGTCAGTGACATTTGCTTTCTCTCCCATTAGTTAAACCTCAAAACAATGAATAGACAGACGGTTTTTTGTTTTTTACTAACATTACTATCTGCTCTGTTATCCAGCTGTGCATTAAAGAAGAAATTCACGTGTTTTCTTTCCAGAGGAAATATCCAATGCATTATAAAATAGCACTGATCATCAACTACCTAGGCCACTGTATCTCTGTGGGAGCTCTAGTCGTGGCCTTCATTCTCTTCTTGTGCTTAAGGCAAGTACAGAAATAGTGCCTATCTAAATGTATCTTGCATGCATGAGAGCTCACAGTAGACAATCAGGTAAATTCATGTAATATCCTCAGAATATTTATCATTAGTTTGTTTATGTCAAACGAACAGCAGCGTGGCTCAGCTGGAGCACCTGAGCTAAGAACGTCATAATATGTACTTCATAACATTTCTTGATCTGGGCAGCCGAACCTATTTTTATGTCCGGTTTAAATACAGTACACATGAACACAGACACACGCACACACACACACACACACACACACACCTACATCTACTAAGATAGAACAGGGCAAACACCAAACAACCGCACTAGGATTTGATCAATGTGGGGATCTAAAAGCAAATATTGATTTCTTTAGATTAAAGACCAAAATAGTCAATATTTTGTCCCAAGATTAAATTTGTGTGGGACTTTCTGCAACTACTTTTATTTTTACCTGCATTCTTGGCAGGATTAATTATTCATTTCTGTGATGTCCATGAATAAACATCTGTAAATCCACTCAGAAATAAGAGATTTCAAACAGTCTTCTAATGACTCCAGAACTCGCCTGAGAATTGTCATGTGGGCTGAGTGGATAGAGGAGAGACAAAAGAAGAATAGCAACATGACACAACAATCAAACACTGATCAGGTCGATGTGGCTGGTGACTGCTCGTCAGAGATGTAGAGCTCCAGGGCCAGGGCAACCTGCAGAAAGGTACAGGGAGAGAGAGAGGACACACTATACGGGAGAGAGGAGACACAAAGTTAGTAATGTGTAATGGTGGCATATAGAAGCATAGGGAGAGAG